ACACACACACACACACACACACACACACACACACACACACACACACACACACACACACACATATATATATAGAAATGATATAATTTGCAATTCGGTGGAATGCAGCATGCCGACTAGCGATCGTAGACGAGAATGCATTGGTTATATATAGGGTGTTTTGCACGTGAAAAAAACTACGGAAAAAAGAAACGGATCAATACACAGCCACAAGTTACAAATTTTTTTTAACATGCGTTTGAATAAATTTAATGAATGGCATAACAGATGATTTACGAAATTCTTTACAATATTTATCCCCGTCTAACGAAGCTGGCACGATAATCAATAATATTTGTCTCCTATTTCTGCATTATTTCTATAATAATCCGCATATAAAAATTACTTTAATAATAATATTGTTTTATTATAATTATTTTGTATAATGTTCCAATGTTACTTTATGTTACATTTGCATAAAGAGAGATAAGTATAAGAGACTCGCATTTGATAATAACTTTCAAATATCAACGAAAGAAATATTTCTTTCCATAAAACGCATCGATAACGAATATTTATCAGACCTTAAAAACATAACGCAATTGCTCTCGTTTAAAATCCACATTTTTTTTTATAAATCTCTGTTAGCGATGTAGATACTCGAAAGTTGTTGCGAACATTTGATTCTCATACAAAAACTTTCTATACAGAGTTAATGCTACGCCGCGGAGCGAGTAGTGTATATCGGGAAACTAAACTGGATACTTGTCAACCGTCCAAACTCACTTTGCCTCCGCACGACTTTTACAAAAGTTGTATCAAGCCGAAACTGATCGCCATGAGAATTACGTATCTGGCCTGATCCATACTACATATATCACCCTGTATATCATTTTATGTACTGTCATATCGTGACGTAGATTGGGCACTGCTGTCACTTGTCATGTGAAGCGATAGATGCACGTGATTAGCATCGTGTTATGTAACTCATATCCGATTTCACTGACAGGATATATACTCGTATATTCGAAAATGAAGATTTTACCGTGTGTCGCTAGCGCATGACGAGAGAATCTCCTTTGTCAAAAGGAATTTCCCCACATAGCACAAAAGTCGATAGCGTGGAACATTCCAGCAATATTGCAGGAACGTTATAGAATTGTTGCAGTAATGCTGGAATGTTCTGTGCTTGCCATGTATCTTTTTGGTGAAAACGGATATATGTAAAGTCTATCAGTATTTATTGTTAGTACATTGTGATATGAAATGTCTCGACCTCTTACTATAGATCAAATGCCAAAATGTTAGATTATAATGATAAGTACTCGCTCAGCAAAAATAAAAGATATCTTCCTCGTACTAAAATGTTCTTTATTCAGTATCTGATACAAATATAACGTACAGTATTAATATCTTTGATCAATCACTACTTTTTCGTGACATTGATCTTATATCATCTCATTACGTTTTGTATCACATTCAGCTTATCATTATCATCTTCATTATTATGTAGCACTCTAGCATTATGAATAATGTAGTTTAAGATAAAATTTCATTTGATAACGGAACTTATAGAAATCGAATTTCTTTTATTCGATACTTATTTTCAAGAAACGCGTCATTTGTGCAAATTGAGACGAATCAAGATAAATGAGAATTGAAAAAATTAAAAGAAAATTAAGTCTAATATTTTTACAATGATGATTTTTTTGTTCGTTATATACACTGAGAGAAAAATATAGTAATATCAATTATAAATATGGCAACTATATAAATTTTATATGAATTAATGTATATAATTAAATAAACTATTTACGGTTGTGTAGGAGCTCCTGACAAGAAAACACCGTTTTCTTGTTTCCAATAAAAGGCTTAACTTCAGGAACGCACATTTACAAAGCTTTATTTTTTGAGCGTAATGGTTTTACAAAACAACTTCAAATGTAACATATTAATCAATAACTCCGTCGTCAAAGCGCACTTTCGCATCTATTATAGTTTCACAACATACGTTGTTTTAAACCGCGGATAGTTTATAATATTTTCTACAACTCCTATAGCTGTAATGATTATGAAATAGTTTACTATATGCACATTAATTCTACATAAAACTTATATAGTTGTCACTTTTATAATTACCACTACTATGTATTTTTCTTTTCTCCGGATATAATATAAGTGTGCCATCTTCATTCTAACTGATCGATTAACTAGAGACGTCCGGAGAGACGCTGTTAGCGCTATTTGTGTCATTCTATCTTCATCGTTTATCAAACATAAAACAAAAATAGAACGACACAAAAATGCACTAAACCCAAATATGATAAAAGCAAGATTTCTTTTGTTCTGTATCTAATGGATTATCTGTCGTTAGCGCATGAAACTGTCTGAAAAGAGATCGTGATACGTAATGTCTGTTTAAAGCAACTATATGGTTCTTGCAGCATCCAAGCGTTGTTCGCCGAACGCCTATAAATTTTCGGAGCTCTCACACTTCTTTCTTTTTTAGAGCGACAGATAAGCGTTAACCTGACCATTTACTGACCCAGAATTATCTGTCGCAGGATAAGGGTGGAGCATATGGAACGACAACTGGCCAATCTAACCGGGCTCGTGCAGAAGGCACTGACACACGCGCCGCACACCAGCCCTTCGCCGCGAGAGTACTTGCAAGTCCCACCGGGACGTGATCCTTACGCGAGAGCAGCAGGTACGTGTCCAGTAAAATCTCTGATCTCGTTTCCTCCCCCAAATTTCTTTCCGTACCTTCGATTTCGCTTTCACGATAACGTCGTTTATCACGGTTTTTCGTATCGACGTAAGAAGGCTCGTCTCAAACGTAGCGAGAATAATTTGTTAAGAAAAAGTTTGTTTAGTTTTACCAGGAGTAGCGAATTATAATTATTCTCATTACTTTTAAGACAAGCCGCGTAAATAATACCGTTATAGTTTCTCTTGAGAGGTCTGATCTGAATAAAGACGATCGATTTAGCTGTTTAGTGATGCCACCTCGTTCATTCCCTTTCAACGCTTATTTTACGGAAAGTTTTAGAGCGCAATTCACTTAATTCACTAAGATAGTTTCAGCTAAGAAGCATACGAGACTGCTAGACACCTCATATAAAGTAGTAGTCTCTACTAACATTCATCTTGTTCGTTTCATCCGTGCCTGTTCATCTATTCATCTTCATCGACTCTGACATCTTGTAACCACGGTTCTAGTAACAATATCATGCCGCAAATACATTTTAGAATCAATAGTCGATAGATATTGAGAACAAGGCGGCTACGTCGAGTTCTTTTTTTCTAGGACTGCTATTTTTACTATATACTCTAAACAATTACAAATATTATATAAAAAACTTGTGAAAATTATAATTTCGAGAAAAATTGAATTTTCTCATATTATTAGAAACTGCAGAAACAAAATGAGACATAGCGCTGAAACATAGAAATAAATATAATATCAGAAATGTCCAGTATATTGATACAAAAAGTAGGCAATAGTTTTTGATTGTTTATGTCACATTGTATTTTCGGCTTGTGACAAACGTCGTGGCCGCCTTTTAGATAAGTCAAGATTCGCTAAAACACAACTTTAGATATAAACGTGCATACGTATACATATGTGTTGCATACATACATGCAGATATACATATATATTAGAAGAATTTATGCCGTGAGCTTTACGCGCCAGTAACAATATGCCATTATTTGTAGCCAGCGTAATTAGAAAATGGAATTAACGAAATTAGAGAACATTAGAGTATCACTTAGCAATATTTTCAGTGATATTAACTGTAATTTTATTAGAGTAATATAGAACGGAATAAAACGCTTTTGCAAAAAATAACAAATTAAATAATGTTCGAAGTGCAAATTTTTTCTGCTCGATTGTTATGAAATAAAAATAAAGCAGTAATTTTATGTAAATTCTCTCGATAAATATATTAAAAGAAAGAATCACTTGTTAATTTCTTAATGTATAATAACGGATCCCGCAAGAAATTGTCTCAGCCAGAATTTTGTCTAATAATTTTGCCAATTGAGCAAGACTACGATCGTGATTGACTTTTCTCAGCGAGCTTTGTTTCGAGTTTAAATACGCACGCTGGCAAATATTTTCGCGTAACAAGCTCGGAAAGCCGCTTCCGAGGATACTGAGTCTGGTTGAATTCGACGGCATATAGTTGCGGTGTAGTCTCACGGACTGAACTCTCCTAAAACCCTGCTGTACAACTGCTTTGTTATTCCGACTAACGCACACACCAGGCGCCGGGGACGAGTTCGACAAACACTCTAGCTCCAGCTCTGCCTCACTGCCAGGTGTGTCTCTCATCTTCTTCTATCTTCTATTCACCTCCGAATCACTGTATAACCGCTACTTATATATTTACATACGTTAATCTTTATATATATATAAAACATACAGATATTACAGTTTTTCTCTATTTTTATATATTATATATATTTCTATATATATTTAACGTTGTCTCTACCTTTATTGCTGTTAATAAAACGCGTGTCCTTTAAAATTCAAGTGTCTCAACCTGCCGTTACAGATGACTCGTACTTAAGGACTGACGTTAAACCGCCAAAATTAGGCAAAGGTGCGCTTCAATATGTATACGTTTCTTTTATGTATGCACTTTTGCGAATGTTCGCCGCATTATCGCCTTTTATCTCTTGCGTTGTCATCGTTGCACGTCTCGCACACACATCCGTGCCGTATTTTCTCTTCTCGCTCGTACGGTCCTAATTTCATGGATATTTCATCAATAAATTTCAATAGCATCAATATTTTCAACTTTTCGTTAAGTCTGCTCATTTGCAATTGTTCTCTTTCTCTATTATTTTGCTTGTTATATTTATAATCAAATCGTTTTTTGATAACTTCTTTTTTATTTCCCGTGGGCTGAAATGCCATGTTAAAAAAGAGTACTATTGTTCAATTTATAATACGTTATGGCTATTCGTAGTCGATTTTTATGTCTAAGACTGTCTTAAATACAGATGCAATCACAGAGGTGATAGCATCTTAAGACGTTACTTAAGATCAGCGTCGTATTTAAACAATGTGCTGAGTAGACTATTCAAGTTCAGTAAATTTGAGAAGAAAATTTGTTTTAGTTGAACGTTGAGATAATGTTGTTCATAAATAATTTAAAGTCACTAGATAGAAAGATTAAATTTACTTTCTAATGTTATTATGTGAAATATACTTATTATTTTATTAATTTTTTTTCTAATGTTATTGTGAAGTATACTTATTATTTTATTAATTTGTGCATTTTGTATGCTTTTTGCTTTTTTTTTT